CATTCACACCTACAAAACCGGTTTTCAATTATATTCTGATTTTCAAAGAATCTAAACATACTGTCTTCTTACAATTATCTTAATTGACTAGGTGCTGAATTTTGTCTTACCCAGTCATCGCCACAGTATAAAAACCCCAGACCCAAACATATTTTTTTTATCATACTACAAACTTGTTTTAAATTGCAGTATCCAACTTTATAAAACCAAGTGTGAGCATATATTTAACCTAATGACAATTATAATATAATCATGAAACCCGAAGTCACCAATATTTGTCCAAGGTATCATGACGAGGCTTATGGAAACACAGTGGAAGTGCGCCAGCACTCTGGACGCCAACAGAAACGGAAGTTACATGGATTAAAAAAGAATTTGCCTATTTGAAATGGTCTTTTACTAATATCGAGCCTGCAACTTAGTATATTTGGATAAGTGATGATGACCTGGTTTTACAAACACAGATTATTCAAATAGAAAGAAGGCAGAAGGCTGGCGTCATCCTAGAAGGTCAGAGCTTTAGGACTTTGGGGGGCAGAAAAAAGAATAAAAAAAATAAAGCTCTGTGGGCCGAGGAGATGAACAATACGGCAATGCTGAAGTCACTGCAACATTATTTATCTTTTTTCTCTGAGTATGATGTCTCATCTTCAAGAGTTTTTTGTTTGAAAGTTAAAAAACCAAAAACCTTTCCATTTTTTTCTATCTCCCTTAGAATGTAAAATCTGAGAGATCAGGACTTGCTATTATATGTTCTTTTATCCCAACTTGGATTTCATTATTTTATAAATCATGAGCTCTTTAAAAAATGCTGACATTTAATGAGTAAATTCCACTAACTCTGGGTTTAGTTCGAAAGAATAAGCATTTATTGAATCTCTATTATGCACAAGGCATTGGACCAAGTGCTAGGGAGACTATACGGGTGATAAGCACATAAAAAATAACATCTCCGGCCGGGCGCGGTGGCTCACGCCTGTAATCCCAGCACTTTGGGAGGCCGAGGCGGGCAGATCACGAGGTCAGGAGATGGAGACCATCCTGGCTAACACGGTGAAACCCTGTCTCTACTAAAAATACAAAAAACTAGCCGGGCGAGGTGGCAGCACCTGTAGTCCCAGCTACTCGGGAGGCTGAGGCAGGAGAATGGCGTGAACCCGGGAGGTGGAGCTTACAGTGAGCGGAGATCGCGCCACTGCACTCCAGCCTGGGCGACAGGGCGAGACTCCGTCACAAAAAAATAAATAAATAAAATAACATCTCCAGTCTGAGCAACATAATGAGACCCCATCACTACAAAATATAAAAAAACATTGGCTGGGCATGGTAGCACCCGCCTGTGGTCCCAGCTACCTGGGAGGCTGGGGTGGGAGGACTGCTTGAACCCCGGAGGTCAAGGCTGCAGTGAGCTGTGATCCTGCCACTGCACTCCAGCCTGGGCAACAGAGAAAAACCCTGTCTCAAAAGTAAATAAATAAATAAATAAATAAATAAAAATTTATGAAACATACTATTTCCTCCTTTTTGCTTATCTGTCAAGAAACTCAAAGCTACATTTCTTGTTCAATTGCAATAACGTTTTCAGACTAGATTTTCTATAACAATTCTCTTTTATTACAGTGACTCTTTTTTTTTAAGAACTGGAAAAAAAAGTATATGTAACATAGTAAAGAAATAAGTCTAAGTCAGGATAAAGTGAGTTCAGTGCCACAAGAAAAATCGCAACAGACTGCACTGAGGATTCACAGGCTGAAAGGAGTGTATGGGAGAAGACAGGAGGTGAGTTTTCCAGGAAAAGGTCATTCCAAGCTAAGAAGACAGATGGGCGAAGGTACAGGGATGGGAATGTGTGAGATACTTGGGAGAAAAGAGTTCAGATACAAGGAGGTTGGAACAGAAGGTGGGTTGTTTCATTAACTCTCAACACACAAAAAATCAACCCTTCTCTACTAAGCATCATATTGGCATGTTGTTCACATGTGTGAAATCTTTCCCATAAGCACAGTAAGGGTATCTTCATCTTACTCATCAGTGAGATCAAAGACCGGAGATGACATGACCATGTAATTTCAGCACAGACACAAGAAGCAACAATAAATCAAGAAGAATTAATGCATTTCATCAAGTGAGCACTCAGTAAATGCTCTGCAGTTGTAGTCATACAGATCACCAAGACCCGAATGCACTTTTGGTTTATGAACATTTAAGCTTTTACAACGGCCCCCATACTGCCTGTCTTCTCTACTGAGCTCAAAGCAATTCATTCTTTGGAGGCCACAATCTATTCTTTACACTTTAAAGATGGAAAGACTGGAAAATGATCTGTGTAAGGATCATGGAACTTAACAGACAAAAGAAAAGCAAGGCCTCATTATATGTATGAGGGAAATGCAAAGTAGAATCTGTGGGTTCATGCTGAAAAATCCAAATTAGAACAGCTAATCAAGTGAGAGAGTGTGACTAGTTCAAGTGTTAATCACAAAATTCTCCATTGCCCATATTACAAATTAGACTCGTTTTTGGAAGCACGTATGCGATGAAGAGCAAACAGGTCAGTAACACTGGAAAAAGGCAGTGAACTAACATGGAAAGTTGTCTAGTCAGCTTTGTGTGGTTGTTCAGTTGCTGTAGCCCTGTGTTTTTCAAACTGCAGGTCACAATCCATTAGTTGATCATGAAATCAATTTACAAAGTCACAAACAGCAATTTAAAAAATGTCTGTATCACTTAGTATTGTTTCATGAAACATTTATTCTAGTTAATATCAGGTATAAATATATAAACATATGCTCTGGGTCAGACTGCAAATAACCCCAGCCTCAGTCAAAAAAAGTTCTTTGAAAGCCGTTGCTATATTCTTCCCCACTGGGAAGTTAGGCTTGGGAATCAACAGGACTGAGACTACAAAACGCAGCTTAACCAAGAATTTCAGTACAATTGAATTGTGACTGCAAAGATTATATTGCAACATATTATTATGACAGGGCATGTGTGCCATATCTATGATATTTCTATATCAAATAGGTAAGAATTTATGAATGTCATAATGTCTGCACAGTTGTTCTAATATTTAATGCTAGATAAATGGTTTAGATCAACCGTTCTCAACTTTTTAGTCTCAAGACCCCTTTACACTCTTAAAAATCATTTCTTAAATTACTTTTTATTTATTTATTTAGTTTTGAGGTGGAGTCTCTATCACCCAGGCTGGAGTGCAGAGGCAGGATCTCGGCTCACTGCAACCTCTGCCTCCCGGGTTCAAGCGATTCTCCTGCCTCAGTCTCCCAAGTAGCTGGGATTACAGGTGCCCACCACCACGCCCCGTTAATTTTTGTAATTTTAGTAGAGACAGGGTTTCACCATGTTGGCCAGGCTGGTCTTGAACTCCTGACCTTGTGATCTGCCCGCCTCAGCCTCTCAAAGTGCTGAGATTATAGGCGTGAGCCACTGCACCTGGCCCACTCTTAAAAAATATTAAGGACTCCCTCAGAGAACTTTTGTTTATATGAGTTATATCTACCTATATTTACCACGTTGGAAATTAAAAATAACTTTAAAGAGGCCGGGCTATGTGTGTTTTGTTTGGAGTATATGAAGAAACTCTGGCCTCATATATAGATAATGTAGTTGGAAAAGAGATGGATATTTTAATAGACTTTTTCAGATAACTGTGGATATTCTTCTTGGACAATATACCAAAACTTGACAAGCTGGAGTTTCTCAAAGCTTAGCTGCAATGTACTATCTGAAATCCTATTAACTTTTCATACTGTTACATTAAAAATCCATTAGTCCACCTTGTCCTGGAATGGATCTTTTGCCTGTGCATGATTATGTAGCATGAGACATCAGTCATTTGGAAAATACTGGACCACTGAGTTAAGCAGATCTCTGAGATACTGACACTTTCCATTACACAAGATTTGTTAAAATTGCACTCATTAATATCATCATTGATCTCATCAGAAAAAAAACGTTAAATATTGAGACGTTGTCAAGCTCATGGCAGCAGATACACATTTTCTAAACTTTTCATTCTGGCTTGAAGGCTTAAAAATTATCATTGGCAGCAGTAATTGTCCCTTGTTTTCCTGAAAGTGACAGGCACACTTTATTTATTTTCAGGAAAATGTCTGTCAAGTACCTGTTTGAATAATCATAGTTTGCCCATCTTTCTTTCAAGTAAAATGTTTTATGAAAATAAAAAAAAAAACGTGAATTCGGCCCACAACTCAAGCACAGAAGTATTTTCCTAGAGACAAGTATGACACACTTCATTTTGTAGCAGACGTGCTTTATGCCTATTTCCTATTTTTTTCATGCAGAATACTAAAAAGAATGGTACCCAAGGATTAAGCTTCAATAAAATTTATAATTTTTACTGCTTATCAAGAACACCATCAGGTGACACTGGCTCTCTAGCTTTTTTTTTTTTTTTTAACTGAGAATGCAGGTTAGTGACACGTGCGTACTTTCACTAGCAATACAGTTTGGTGTCCCTGCCATGATTGGGTTAAGCCACCAGCACTTTTAACCACCATTGTCTGCAAATCGTCACCACAGTGAACAAGTCAAATAAGTAAGTCTTAGCATTGTCATCAAATTTTTTTTTTTTTGACCTTGCAGATCCCCTGAAAGGGTCTCAGAAACTCCCAAGGGGTTCCAGGACCACACCACACTTTGAGAACCACTGGGTGTTAGCGCATTCAGAAATCAATTCAGTTCTCTTTCTCTTCAGAGTTCTTGATGCTCGAGGCTTATTTATTGTGATAGGTCTGATCACTGAAGCGCCAAAGAAAAGATATGCCAAGGCGTCGAACACATCCAAGAAGGAAGTCCTACCGCGCACACAGCTCAAAGGCTCCAGCGTGAAGAAAAACAGCTCTTGGAGAAAGAAACGGGATGCAGAGGGCAGGCCTGGGCTTGTCGTTGCCAGTGGCAACGATCCTCAGTGGGCGGAGCGCGGCCATCGATTAGTGAGGCCTTGCGTCAGTCGGCGGGCGGGAGGGTGTGGGTGACTGGAGCCGGAAAAGGCCTCCCGGGCCTTGTGGTCGCCGTGGGTTCTTGGTAGCGAAGCAGCTCGCTCGTTCTGCGATCTATTGAGAGTGGCTTCCAAGAGCCCCGTGCCTATGTCGGGGAGGGAGGGAAGATGGCAGCCGTGGCGGCAGGCGGCCTGGTGGGGAAGGGGCGCGACATCAGCCTAGCGGCCCTGCAGCGCCACGACCCCTATATCAACCGCATCGTGGACGTGGCCAGCCAGGTGGCTCTGTACACCTTCGGCCATCGGGCCAACGAGTGGGTGCGTGCGGACGCGGCGGAGCAGTGCAGAGCAGGGTTGGGGTGGAGGCGGGGGGCGTCAGACTCAGGACAGGAGGACCCGGTGAGGGGGAGGAGACGTTGAAGCCCTGGAGGTGGGTGGATCTGGGGCCTGAGGCCGAAGTTGTGGAGATGCGCTCCCGGGGGTTTGGGGGAAGGGAGGCGGATCTGTGGAGCTACCTGGAGTTGGGGAAAAGACTTAAATCTCTAACGTACCCAACGCTGGGAGACCAGACCGATCGGGTACCGCACCCTGAGAGCCGAAGGAAAGGAAGGACCTGATGCCTTAAGGTCGGAAGACCGATGTGCTCGAGACAGTAAAGCAGAGTTCTGTTACAGTGAATCTGTGGCTATGGGGGAGGCAGGGACAGCAGATGAATAAAAGTGCAGAATTCTGATTTTGGAATGTCAGTCTTAGATGGGACAAAGAGAAATCAAAACTTGATAGAAGGGGAGAAATCTGCAAGTTGTAAACTAGGGAAACGCCAAGAAAAGAGCCAACCTCGTCAAATAAAAGACAAAATGGGGCAGGGTCCAACACTTAGAAGGAGGCTGATGCTCTTGGGAGGATTATTATACGACAGCCCACCAAGTTTGATATTGGAGGCCATTTGGGAGCCAGATTATTTTAGTGCTCTTCTCAAAGCAGAGTCCCAATAAATGGTAATGGAATGAAATTTCATTGTCCTCACAGTTAGAATGGGGTAGAAGCCTAGAACACTGGAATCCTGTTGCGGGAATTGCTGCTTGTAATTTTGTAACCCACCCACTCGAATGTAGAGAGATGTAATTTTATTTCTTTCCTCATAATGATTTTTGTCCAAATAATATTCATCATCCATTATATATTGCCCATTAAATATCACATATATGATATCCATCATTTTAAAATAAGTTACAAAACAGTATGGAGAACTTAGCCTTGATGAATGGATTTCAGATAAACTTTTTGTGTTCTTCAAGTCGGTTGTATAAACACCAGAACTTAAGCAAGGAAAACATCCATGTTGAACAACTCTGTTTTTTTTTAACACCCACATTCATAAGCCTACTTATCTCCAGTGTAGTTCAGCAGCCTGTAGTTAAAAACTCACCTGAAAATCATTAACATAAAAATAAAAAAGCAAGCAAGAATGGGATAGACAAACAGTTTTGCCCAAAGTTCTTAACAGAGGAAATTTACAGGAATGGGGCAAAGAATTTAGGTCTGCGCTCCTAGTAGCCAAACTCAAAAGGAGAACAGGAAGAGCTCTTTAATATTCATTCTTCTGTAATAGAAAGCCTACCACTTAATCAGGAGAAAGGTTATTTCCCCCTAGTTTCCAGGGGCATTTGTCACCTAGGTCTTTACATAAAGAACATTGAGCAACATAGTAGACAGTTTCCTCCATGGTAATTAAAAGTATATATGAAGATATTCTACATAAGGCTGTTTTGCTGCTGTGTAGAAAAATGCCAAAGGCATAATATTATAATCCTGTAAAAGTTAATTCCATAGTAGAGAGATGAGGACCAGAGATGTATAGTTGTGTAAATTGACTTGACACTGGGATTCGAGTCTGGAGCATCCTGAGAAACTATTAATATAAAGAAAGTAGAGCATTTCTCTTGTGAATAATAGTTGTTTCCTGTAGGCTTTTGACCGTTATCTATGTGATAGATACCTTTTAAGATAGTTACAGATGTTTATTAGATACCTAAAGCCTCATCAAAAAGCAGATGTGTCACAATGCATTATTTACAGGAGTTATGTTTTCCTGCTTGCTGGACATGTTGCCTTCAGACAGGGTATAATTCACTCAGGAAAAGGTCATTCTTTCAAAGTTCTAATATTCAAGGCTGTCGTAGCCAGAAAAACAAAGAGAGAGACCTAGTTCAGCTGCAGAGCAGTTGCTGGAGGCAAACAAATTATGACCACTGTCTCCATGTGCTGTCACTCTGGGTGGGAGCCATTTGAATGTAAACCTAATAAGAATATGAGAACATTCTTGAGAAGAGAGGAGAAAGTATTTACAAGAAGGCAGGGAAGATGTTAAAGAGGGGAATTCTTATTGCCCTGAAAATGGATGAAGAATGACTTCAGCCTTTCAGAGGAGGAGAAATTAGGAAGGAAAGGTGTATAGAAAATGAACTGCTTTAAAGAAGGATTAAGAAAGATTATGTCATGACTGGAATAGGAATTTTAGAGTTAGATCTACTCCCTGTTGCCAGGAAAGATGCCCCCCTCCAAAATATTAATACCTGTGTGTCAATTGAAGACCATAGCCCTGGTATTTTCCAGCTGTCAGTCCTTAGACCAGTGGCTCCCAGCTGGAGTTGATTTTGCCCCCAGGTGACATTTGGCAGCGTCTGGAGACGTTTTTGGCTGTCGCACTGAAGGGAAGAGTGTTAGGACATCTGCAGAATAGAGGCCAGGTGAGCTGAGCCTGAAAACTGCCCTACAGTGACTGAGGTTGTGTTCCGAGCTAGTGGTTTTCTAAGTTTTTGGTGTAGCCAATTAACTCACAGTTTTTTAAAAGTGAAAAATGCCAAACTAAAACCTCTGGATAATGAGACCCAGGCATTTGAGATTGTTGAAAGCTTCATAGGTGACGCCGATGCTACATGCATGATTAAGAGAGATTTGGGAGGATAAGTTGAGGCCTACGTTTTGATTATTTTAATTGAGAATAATCAAGTTAAAATAGAGATTGTGCTGAGCTATTTTGTGTCAGTGTGCAGTCCCCAAAATTTGCAAAACAGCACTATTTTATATTCCATTTTGGGTTTTTTAGTATTTTGAATTCTGAATTGCTTATTTCTTTAGCACTTGTTAGATTTTATAATAGAATATAATATTAAATTGTCAAATTGTACTTTTAAAATTTAAGCTAAAATACCCCAGGACTGGTAACTAATACTTAAAAGTCCTCCTTAAAGGATCTAAGGAACATCTAATCTTGTTTTAACTATTCTGCACATCCCTAACCCTGGACTTTGCTCAGAAAGAAAAAAAAAATCTGGTTGCCCTTGGATAACTGTGGAGGGGCCAGGAAAATGCATGAATTTGGGCAGCTATAATAGAACAGAAATGTACATTTTCAAAGTCTCTTTTATCCAGGTATCATAGAGCACCTGACGTTTTTTTCATCAAAAGATCTGAGTATTGTAAGCTGGTTATCTCTCTTTTTTTTTTTTTTTTTTTTGAGACGAAGTCTCGCTCTTGTCCCCCAGGCTGGAGTGCAATGGCGCAACCTAGGCTCACTGCAACCTCTGCCTCCCCGGTTCAGGCTATTCTCCTGCCTCAGCCTCCCTAGTATGCGGGATTACAGGCTCCTGCCATCACGCCCAGCTAATTTTTGTATTTTTAGTAGAGACGGGGTTTCTCCTTGTTGGCCAGGCTGGTCTCAAACTCCTGACCTCAGGTGATCCACCTGCCTCGGACTCCCAAAGTGCTGGGATTACAGGTGTAAGCCACTGTGCCCGGCCTGGTTATCTCTTTTCAATGGAGAAACTGAGACATATCATAATAAGCTAATTAGCCCAGCATGATCTGGCAAGAACCCCACTATAGGTCCCAGGTTGTGATTACTGAAACACAACTCCTTCCTATGAACAAATTCATATTCTTTGTGTGTAATGCTAAATAAAAATCTTAGTTTTGACAATTGCTTGTTTTAAGTTACAGATTAATTTTAGGAGAAGCATGCCTTTTACATTTCTGACCTTGGAATTTTAAAAACTAAAATGTGGCATTAAAGGTTTTTTTTTTTTTTTTAAATTAAGAGAATTTCTGTTACATCAAGGAAGAAAGGAAACAAGTCAGAAGCTATTTAGTTTTATGTGTGCTGATGTATATAGATATCCTGATTCGGATCTCTAAGATGAAACAGTCCAAGGTCAAATACTGGAATACCAGGAGAGTGTTTTGATCTTGTGGGGCGTGATCCTGACGGTACATAGAGGTTCTGCAAAGTCCTAGTTCTGTCACCTGTATCTTGGCTCAGTTTCCTGACAATATAATGGGTAATACCAAATACTTAGTTTTTACAAATTTATTTTTAAATGCTTTGTGGACTTGTGAATACATGCTGACTGAATCATTTAAACTTTAGGGACAGCCAAAAATTTGTTCAGGTAGCATTTACTGTACTGTAGGGGCCATTTTACTGATTAATACCTTGGTGGTTTGGGTTTAAGTAATTCTTAGTGCTTAAAGTACACTCAGGATATACATTTGTCAACAGATAGGAATTAACCACGTTTGTTTTCAAAGAAAGATAAGTAATGTTTCTGTATATATATTTTTTCATTTTGACTTGGATATTTTTCAAAGTACAGGGGCAAATGAGCCACATTTCAGAAATCAGGATATGTTGCACAGTATGTGGTAGTGATTTATACAAACTTTATAGTGGATCTAGTTTAAGGATGAAGTCCCTGACTTTCTTACCTATGCTTATATGTTAGGGAAAAAACTGGCTAAAGTTGTTTCGAAATTTATTTATTTATTTATTTATTTATAAGAGACAGGGTCTCCCTCTGTTGCCCAGGCTGGAATGCAGTGGTACAATCATAGCTCACTGTAGCCTCAAACTCCTGGGCTGAAGCCATCCTCCCTCCTCAGCCTCCTGAGTAGCTGAGACTACAGGTATGTGTCATCACACCTGGCTAATTAAAAAAATTTTTGTTTTGTAGAGACAGGGTCTCACTATGTTGCCCAGGCTGGTCTCAAACTGAACTCCTGGCCACAAGTGATCCTTCTGTCTCGGCCTCCCTGAGTGCTGGGATTACAGACATGAGCCACTGTACCTAGTCTAAATTCTTTATTTATAATTTCATATTCCATAATAATAAACATCTTGAGATTTAAAATTTTGTTACTAAGTAATGATTTTTTTATAGCCATTTACTCTTGATAATAACTTGATACGATTTGTGCCATAATGGATTTTGTTTTCAGGACTTGTAATATAATTTCATGGGCAGAGAGTATGTTGTTGAGCTGAGGCAGTGAGTGGCTCTCAGACTAGCATACATCAGAATCACCGGGACAGGTTAATGAAAACCAGATTGCTGAGCACCATCCCCAGCGTTGCTGATTCCGTAGGTTTGGGTAGGAGCCCAAACATTTGCAGTTCTAGTAAGTTCCAGGTGATGCTGATGCCGCTGATCTGGGGATAACACTTTGAGGCCCACTGAACTAAAGTGAATGAGAAATTGGCTGAAATTGCTTGAGCATGTGAAAGGATCATGCCTTGTGTGCCTTTTAAAAATTGCTGTTTTGACATTACACTTTTTTTTTTAAAAGGGTGTATTTTTCACCAAAATTATAGAGTACTTAAATTTTGAATGATTATGGTCATGAATATTAATAATAAAATATCAGGGGTTTAAATAGAATGCTGAAATTAAACCATGTAAATTGCAGAAGTACATTTTAAATTCTGAATTACAATAGGCTTGGTTACTGGTTAATCAAACACCTGGATAGTTACATGTATGTTTTTTAGTATGCATTATATGGATGAATATTATCATAATGGCCCGGCTTCCTGCCTTTGGAGAAATGGAAAAGAAATGTCAAATGAACTAGTTGAAGCATCATTTTAACTTTACCACCTCTCCTAGATTTTCTCAGGAAATGAGAAACCATTTCTCAGGAAATGGTAGTACTTGTGTAACTTTACTTCAGGGATCTCGGGGCAGACCTTGACTGTAAATAGACTACACTAAGTAGGTGACTGATTCATCTGAGAACTCTGTGGCCATCATTGCCCTCTCTATCTAGCAGCTAAAGTAGAGTTACTGACAGATCATCTGCCCTCCTAAGTGACTGGATATGGCAAGAGAAAATGAACCAGGAAAACAAAATGAAGAATAGTGAAATGCAGACACCAGTGATGTCTGCAGCTTGCTCCACACCCAGTGTGGTGGCTGGAGAAAAAGGCAGCGCTCTTCTTTCTAATTAAATCCACATAGCACACTTACTTTCTCATCGTTTCAGCTAGAGGTATGTTGCTCTCCCTGTATTTGGTAAAGAGAGATAATGATGGTTTATTTTGTAAATGACAGAAGAAAGCCTGCTTCCTGCTGCCTAGTCTGCAGAGGCACACTGATGGCCCAGAGCTTGCTTTCTCCTTTTCCTGAGAATCACTCCTCATGTTGGGTGTATTTGGCCCATTGCAGTTTCACCTGCTTGAAGTTGGATATAATTCCTATTCCATGAGAAGTTGTTTTATACGTTTGTGAATGAGGAGAACATACATGTCTTGTGTGTTTTGTTTTTATTGTTTAGGAGAAAACTGATGTGGAAGGAACCTTATTTGTTTATACAAGGTAAGAGTGTTTCACTTTTATAAAGAAACTAACAATCTTTGAGATAATATTTTAGCTCAATTGTGTCACTCTTCAAGTGCATGCAGTTTTATTTCAAAAAGAAGTAAAAGAATTAAATCTCAGTTTTGAAGTTATTAGTTGACATGAAGAAGGGAATAAATACTGAATAATGTCACCGGGTATGTTGTGATGAATACTAATTTCAGAATATAATTTAAACTTCAATATAGATGAACTTAAATCATTGACTGAGCACTGTTTAAAATAGATTAAATATTCTTTGATTCAAATGAATGGCACAAAGTTCTTGAATATAATGCATTGGCCAGGAGCTAGAAGAACACTATGAGATATACTAGATTGTTCAGTTAATATTTGGAAAAGGGTTTCATTGATCATTTTTATTTATTTATTTTTTTGAGATGGAGTCTCGCTCAGTTGCCAAGGCTGGAGTGCAGTGGCACGATCACAACTCTCAGCTCACTGCAACCTCTGCCTCCTGAGTTCAAGTGATTCTCCAGCCTCAGCCTCTTGAGTAGCTGGGATTACAGGCGCACGCCACTATGCCTGGCTAATTTTTTTTGTATTTTTAGTAGAGACGGAGGTTTCACCATGTTGATCAGGCTGGTCTCAAACTCCTGACCTTGTGATCCACCCGCCTCAGCCTCCCAAAGTGCTGGGATTACAGGCGTGAGCCACCGCGCCCGGCCGTTGATCATTTTTCTCCCACCACCGACTCTTTAAAAAAGCGTGATCCAGAATTGAAGATGTCTTTCAGCCCTCCATTGTCTAGTTAACACAATATGTTTCCGGATAGATTGAATAAGCTCGTGTTTTTAGTCATTTCTTGTTATATTATTCATATCAAATTACAAGTGCATATAGAGACATACATTATGTATATTGGCTCAACAAACTTTTCATTCACATAAACATTCACATAAAATGTCATAGCGAAAGGTCATCACCTTCATTGGGGGTACAAAGATGAAATTAAAAGGCCTAATATAAACCTTTCTAGGGGTATCAGTTTCACTGGGGAGACAGGAAACACACACACCCAGGTGTATTTTCTTTCTACATATATCCATGTTTATGGTAAGCCACAATACAGGATAGAGTACCCCAAGTGCCAGTGGATAGATTCTGAGCAATGAATGGACTGCTGTGATTGTGGAAGGCTTTATAGCAAGCTTGTCCAACCCGTGGCCCGCTGGACAGATGTGGCCCGGGATGGCTTTGAATGTAGCCTGACAGAAATTTGTAAACTTTTTTAAAACATTAGAGGATTTTTTTTAAGCTCATCAGCTATTGTTAGTGTATTTTATGTGTGGCCCAAGACAATTCTTCCCCTTCCAGGGTGTCCCAGGGAGGCCAAAACATTAGATACCCCTGCTTTATAGAGTGATGGGTCTTGAATTGGGCCTCAGGAATATGGTAGAACTTAGCTTGCACAGAGGAGAGGGAAGGCAGTCTCAGCAGGAAGAATGGCAAGAGCAGAGGCATAGAACCTGGTGTGTAAAAGGGCCAGTGAGGGAGATGTGGTGCAGAGGGCTTATACTGGTTTGTGGTAGTTAGCAAGTGTAAAGAGATTTGCTGACTTGGAATGGCAGACTCTGGATTTTGAGATTTATTTTCTTAGCAGTAGGAAGTTATTGAAGGCTTACGAACAGGAGCGTAATAGAGAAAATGTGTGGGGAAAGTCAGTGTGTTAACTTCATGGGGATGCACTGGTTCTGGAAGAAATTGAGTCAGGACAGTGAGAAGATTATTGCAGTGGAGTAGATATGAAATGATGAGAGTTGGGATTAGAATAATAGAAATTGAAATGGAAAGGGCATTGCAATGGTGAAATTTTTTAAATGACAATATTTTGAACATGGAAGATTGAGAATGACAGAAGCATTGGTGGAATAGAAAGACAGGAGGTCAAGAATATGGTTTGAGGGTCAGCCCTCATTTTACTTTGAAGTAATGATCTGGGCTGGTAGCAGGACATTCGGGTGGAGGTGTCCAGCGCCTCAGAGTAAGGGCAGGGCTGGAGATGGTTTGGAGTTGTCTGAAGTAATTTGGTAGTTGAAGCCATGAAAGAAAGCTGTTCCCTGAAGGAGTGAGTGTAAAGTGGAACCGATGAGGGTTTATGGTTAGGTTTGAGGGCCAGCAAGGATACAGAGGAGTCAGCTAGAAAGATAAAAGCAGGACTAGAACAGCACAGAGAGGCCCACTGGGGGCAAAGTGTGGGCCTGATGGAGGTCTGTGTGTGCTGGGCAGGAGGGAGCTCAGCTGCAGGTGAGGAAGGTCTGTTCCAGTGGAGGCAACAATGGGAGGGGGAAGGAAGGAATGGGAGGCAAGGCCAGCACACTCAGTGACAAGGAGGTGAGGTTCTTTACAGTCTCAGAAAAGCAGTGGAGTACCCAAGAACCATTGGCGTATTCGTCTACATTATGCTCCCGAACATCCAGAGCGCCAGAGCATGCCCCCAAGCAGGTTTAGTCAATAGAGTATGAGCGCTCTTGAGGATTCTGAAGTTTACAACAAAAGCCATAGGGTTGAACTGTACTACGTGCCGTGCGCACAGGGTCCATTCTCACTCATTTCTCATAACAGGTATTATTACTCTTTGGAGAAGTGACAGAAAAAATGTATTCGTATGTATTAATGATTGATTTTGGGAATTTTTAGTAGGGTTTTTTTTTAAATCATACAAGTATTTTCTTTTGTACATCCAAACCAAATATAGGTTTGTATTTTCAAGGATTTCTTACTGTACTCCAAGTTTCTAATGGAACTCTCAATTAAACAAAACATTAAATTGAGAAAATAATCCTTTGCTTTTTTTTAGTCTCTTCTCCAAATCTAACTCCTCAAGAATAGGATGCCTTCCTTATCCCCTGCAAAACAAAAACCTCCCAGATCCTAGTATGTTGAGGCCTTTCTTCAGTAGAGAATTACAAAAAGCATGTAAAACTCATGGTGGTTGGGGGGCGGGAGGCGTGTTACAGGGAATGGAGCTGGCAGTGATGTATTTTGACTTCTCTTATGGAAGTTGCTTTAGAGCAGCTGGCACATGTATCCCCTGGGCCTATTTTCTAAATTATGAGATGGTATAGTAGCCGTGCTATTAAAGAGGTGAGATCCAGTTGTGATAATGAAATACGTGAAGAATCAAATTCTGATTCTTGTATGAAAACACTTAATCCCATTTAAAAAATCATTTATTTCCTCCCATGCCTTCCTTTCTGTAATAGAGAGTTCATAGAGACACCCACTGGTGATTTCTGAACTTGACACGTCCAGAAGACCCCCCAGCAGAGCTCTTTGGGAGTACATTTTCATTCTTCCTCTGAGTTTAAGTTGAAGTGATGATCATGATTATTTCTGGTATTGATTGTATGCTTACCACCACTTTACCCCTTTGTAAAATAAGCTAGGCAAGGATTGCCTCCCATCAGTTTTAAAATTGGAGGTTTCAGGAGAAAATCCTGGCAGTGGTTGTGTAGCTGTGTTCCTTGATCAGTATCAAATAGAGGCAAAATAAAACTAAGACATAAACAACTTGTCTTCCTGTTGCTCATAACATTTCTGTGGGTTTGTTAATAACAGCCCTAGCACCCTCATTTAAAGTAAATAAATGAATTCTGCTTGCTTCAGCTTCAGTGTGTAAATATGTGGTGTTTCATTTGTCACTGGAAGTTGAACAGTTGAATTACTATATGGCTGTCACCCAAGGGTAGACGAATGCACATGTAGTTGTTAGAGTTTATACTCAGTATGATTTGGATTCTTTTCTGCCTGGCAGAGTAGGCATTCAAGGTTTATTGAGTGAAATGAAAATAAAACGTCACTAAATGTCACATTTTTATAGAGAAAAACTTCTATAGTGGTTTATCTGTGAAGCTGTTTGCTTTGCATTGAAAAAAACAAAGTATCTGCCCTTTGCACTGTTATGTAAACTTCTAGTTCAGGCTGTGTCCTCACAAACTCATTGTTGAGAGTTGATTCATATGGCTAAGAGATTTTGCAGCCTTCAGTTTCAGACTAACACTTAACATTTTCTATGAAAATTGTCTTCATATAATTGTGATGTACACTCTAATATTAACTACCAAGATTGTTTAAAAATATCTTTAATTAATTTAACTTTTAAAAAGTATTCTTTAAAAGTCAGTAATATTTTAAAAAGTAGTTACTCTGCCTTAAAGGAATTTACAACGTAGGTAAAGAAATAAACAAACAACAACTGTATACACACATACACACACACACACCACCACCCCACAAATGAAGTGTGACTCAATTTTACCGAATGAGTCATCATGACAGTGCTGCTGCATTACATGGGAATTAGTCCATAATGATGCCAGTGGTGGAGAAGTATGTGTACAGGCTGCTTGTGTAAAGCTGCATATACAAACAAAAGTTGAGAGACACATCAGAATGTACTATACTGAAAATATAGCATGCTAAGCAATTTGTCTATTGATCTCCCGCTGACCCCTTGTGATTTTTAGGTCTGCTTCTCCAAAGCACGGATTCACCATTATGAATAGGCTGAGCATGGAAAATAGGACAGAACCTATTACTAAAGACTTGGATTTCCAACTCCAGGACCCTTTCCTTCTCTACAGAAATGCCAGATGTGAGTCTTTCTTACTACATTGGGTAGTTTTACAGCTGAAGTTTGGCCAAGTGTTTAAAATTGTACAGCGTATGCTATTGTGTTTGCATTTGGTATCAGTGGCTATGGGGGGTGGTCAGCATTTTAACAAATGCTAATGTTTAGGAAATGCATGCCTAACTGATGGAATAGATGCTTCCTTAGAAGAGTTTAAGTGAATATAAATATGATGATATAAACCTTTAAACTCTGTCTTTTGAAGCTTTATGGATTTGTAGTGTGAACCCATTGCTGATCTTAAGCCTGAGCAGGGCTGGGTGAGGCAAGTTGTTAGTGAGGAGACTCCAGAGAGACACATAGGTGGCGCCCTGAACGAAGAAGTGACGAGTCTGCTATGGCACTTTTTCTTGATGTATCACTTTTGGCCCAGTGGGCTGACAAAGTGTTTGAGGGCCTGTGTTGTAGGAGTGCCATCTTCTGAATACAAGTAAATAAAAAATCAAAGTCCAAAAAGTTTCTTTCCGTCATTAAGAATTTAATAACCCTTTGTAATGTGGAAGTCATAGTAGGTAACTAAAGAGTCCTTGTCAGATTTGAAATGAAGTAGCCATCACCTTTCTAATACTACAGTTTACTCTCATATCGTTTTCTGACCACTTGTGTTGCACTGCTGGTCAGCCCAGAGGAAGATTGCTGAAAATATGCCACCCACAGAAAACAAGAACATAATATATAAATATGTGTGTGTGCACATGTGTGCACACACATGCACCTTACGCTTTGTGGACAGCTTTCATAAAGACCTTGCAGTGAAGAAATGTTTGCTTTATATTTTTCATCCTACTCTTTGAACTCAAGATACAAGAATTTGCCTACCATATACTATTCAGTATAATTTTAATAGTGAGTATAATGTAAATAATATTTGACATTTTAACCCCAACGCATCATTAAGATGCATTAAAATGATGCTATATATAATTGTCATAATAGGTGGTCATCCTGTTATTTAGAGAATAAATTTTTATGAGAGGAAAAAAATAAAGCTATTGAAACTATAATATGACTTACTAATGGCAGGTCCTGTGAAATGAAGTTTTGCAATATAGAAAAATATTGTGTTTTCTCCTCATGTTTCTTTGCCAAAAGGTACACTTTATCAATTGTAGTTGATTACTAAAAGATTTGGATTTCCAACTCCAAGACCCTTTCCTTCTCTACAGAAATGCCAGTTTGAATTGTTTATAGTTTGAATTGTTTTGTGTGCTTATAGTTATGTCAGGTTTTTTTAAGATTATTAGATTTTATGTCAAATTAATATATAATTTAAGTCCTAATAAAATAACTACAAAATTACCTATAATCATCATTTTTGGTTGCTTTTATTTTGGATAAATACATGGTCTGGTCAGTTATAGGTAATATTTTAAATTCTTATTATATATCACGTATTAACTACTATATCAAAAATATAAAAATGCAAACTCTCTTTAATGCATCAATTTAAAAAATAACCTCCTTAAGTCCCACAGGGTTTATCTGATAGGAAATACTATTTAGATCTAATAAACATACACTTTGGTTCTAAGCATATGCAGACCACTATGATAGTCACTAGCTGCTATGGCTGTTTAGCACCTGCAATGTGGCTAGTCTGAACCGAGCTGTACTGTGAGTGTCAAATAGGCACCAATTTTCAGACAGTACCAAAAAAAAAAGTTAAAAACCTCTATTATTAATTATTTTATATTAACACATTGAAACGACAATATCTTGGATAAATTGGGCAAAATAAAATATATTATTAAAATTAATTTCACCTGCTTCTTTGAATTTTTTAATTTAAAATAATAGATGTGGCTCACGTTCGTGGTTCACCTCATATTTCTATTGAACGGCACTGTTCTATTTTAATTTGTTTTTCATATTTTCATTTATGTTTCCATATTTTATAATGATTTTCATTTATTTTACCGTATTTAATAATCACAATTTTGTAGAGTAGACATTTTCACTGCCATTTTGCAGATGAGAAAACTGAGACTCAGTGAGGTGGCAGACTGTGTAAAAACCCACAGATTCTGATTTCACTTCCATTGCTTTTTCCACACCACTACCTGTACTGCTGTACTATTAAACATGGATGCAAATTTGGGATGCATATTAAAATGTTGCTAGTGAATTTCCATACAAAAGAAGTAGAATCAGTTGAACAACAAAGAGTGATAGGGAATGGATCTATTTACTTTTCTGAATTCATTTTGCCTTTTTTTTTTTTCTCCTTTACATCTGATACTGATTGCCTTTGCAGCCAGAGTCATTTGGTTTTATGTTGTTTGCAAAAGCCTTTTCAATCCCACTACAGAAGGGTTTACCACAGGTGTTGTCAGAGTCTCAGATACCTCTTAAACATTTTAATACAATTCAAATATGTTATATAATAATTATGTATGGTTTACATATTCTTTGGTGGCACGTAGATTGGTCGGCCTTTCTTTGGGCAAGGAACTCAGCTTCACTCAGGATTTTTTTTTAAGACTGTTTTCTCAAGATATTCTGTATAGTCAAGAATCTCTCTGTATGGTCTTGGCATTTCACATTGGCTTATGTATATCATAGGCCATATTTGGGCATTTCAAGTAGACAAAGGTAGAATTGATAGAGGTTTTTGGTGAGGTTTTTTAGATTCATTAGGAGAGAAAAAAAAACCCTTTCTTGAACTGGATGAATGTAGAAGAGCAAAATAAAGAAATGAAAATCCCAAACTCCCTTCATTTAATCAGTTAAAAAAAGATGCTTGATAAATAAAGTAACTTCATTCAAACACAAAATAGATTACTTTATTACAGAAAAGGGTTTATACATTGTTTAAAGGGTTTAAACATTGTTAAAATGGGGTTTGACCTGTATGAACTTTAAAAGTAAATAAGATAGCTGTTAAAGTTAGGGCAAACATTTCATTCATTCATTTATTCAGCAAACATTTACTGGGCATTTACTGTCTGCCAAACACTATGTTCAGGCTTTATATGGGTTATCCCGTAACTTTTTCTTGGAAATACTATTACTCCTGTTTTATAAATGAGAATACTGAGGTTAAAGGGATTAAGCAATACACTGTGGTCCATGATTATTTTGAGATGGCAACACTATTTAAACCAAGAAACCTTAACTTCAAGACCCAAGGCCCAAGCAGTGAAGTATTAGCAGTAAATAATGCATCTGAGCAAAGTTTATCATTTACAAACACATAGTTATTTTAGAGTACACTCCAAGGTTTAAAAAGCAAGTTTTTTTAGCCTTGAGATTCAAGCATATATCAGTTATTAGAAAGATTCGTTTTTACCAAATTAAAAACTAATTTAACAAAAAGTTGAATTATACCACTTCTTTTGTAATGTTCCCCTATAGTAATCATTTACTGTATTTTTCATTTCGCAACTAAATAAAATACTAGCATAGGGAAATATCATTTCCCAAATATAATACTTAGGTTATAGACAGCAATGACAGGGGGATTCCTTTCTTTTCTTGCTTTTTCAGTTGAGACGGGGTCTTGCTCTCTTTGTCCAGGCTGGAGTGCAGTGGCACAATCTTGGCTTATTGCAGCCTCCAACTCCCAAGTTCAAGCAATTCTCCTGCCTCAGCCTCTGAGGAGCTGGGATTATAGGCGTGCGGCACCACGCCTGCTAGTTTTTAGTAGAGACAGGGTTTCACCATGTTGGCCAGGCTGGTCTCAAACTCCTGACCTCAAGTGATTGCCCACCTTGGCCTCCCGAAGGGCTAGGATTATAGGTGTGAGCCACCATGCCTGGCCCCTTTCCTTTCCCCTTCTCTTTTCTTTCCTCTTTCCTCTGTTCTGTTTTGTTCTTTAGAGACAAGTTCTTGCTCTGTCACCCAGGCTGGAGTGCAGTCTCATGGTCATAGCCTCATTGCAACCTTGAACTCCTGGGCTAAACCACCACACCCGGATAATTTAAAACGACGTTTTTAGAGACAGGATCTTGCTGTGTTGCCCAGGCTGGTTTCAGATTCCTGGCTTGAAGTGATCTTCCCACCTCAGCCTCCTGAGTAGTTGGCATTACAGGCAGGAGCCACCATGCCCAGCTGACAGGGAGATTTCAGAGCTAGGCCAACAAGTTGAATATATGATTATCAACAGTTATAGGATTGTAGTGAAATTCTTTTTAGATGCTGGATTTTATTGCAAATGTAAACCTGAAGTTTAGATCAAATCAGAAAAGACAAACTTAAGATATTTAGGACCAAAACTATTTTAGAAAACTCCTCCTAAGTCTTAAAGTGAATTTACCATTTTGGGTAGTTTTGTATTAAAAAAGAAATGACAGTTTAAATCCTTGATTAACATTTATAGGATCTGGGAAAAACTGCTATAAATAATGGAAATAGTACCCTGAATGAAAAGGAAAATTACAGATAGCCCTCATCTTCTAAACAGGCATCTTCCAAAAAGTTACCTTTTAAAGTGATTGGCTGATAGGCTTTTGGGTAAACCATGGCAGAGTGAGCATACTCCTGGTTTTCCTGAAGTTCTCTTGAAATGACAGTGAAAAAATAAAAAAGACATAAACCCAAAGAGTGGAGGATCCATTTTACGAAAGAGATGGAATAAACAAGAAGTAGGAAGCCGTGCCGTGATAGCTTCATTGTACACAAATACGAGCTCTGCCTCCTCACAGAGGGTTGTTGATCTTTGCTCTGTTGGTTCTACCATGCATTGACCCACCCTGCAGAAGGATAATACGTACTCACCTTGTTGTACACAAGCATGGCTATACTAATTGCTTTGGCCAGTGAAATGTGGCTGAAAATATGTATCACTTCTAAGCAAATATTTTAAGAACTAGCTCAAGATTTACTGCCTTTTTTCCTTCTGCCATGATGACCAGCAATATTCCGGGCAGAGGCTGCTTTGTCAGCCTAGGTTCTGAAATGAAGATAACATGGCACGGAGTTAAAAGTGACCCATGATGGACATGTAGCTTGTAAGAAATAAACCT